GCAGCAGGTCAACCCTACGTTGTTACGAGTAACAACGGGGGGTCGTACTCAGTTGAGCTTGGAGGGGGGGGGGTCGTACTCTCTCGGTGGCCGGCAGTGGGATTCTTGGTGATATCCTACTGATCATGGATAGTGGTACGAAGGGGAAGAGCAAACGCAGCACAGAAAGTGTATATTATGTAGTGTATATTAGTGCAATTATGCAAAGCCTTCTCCCCGCATAGACGCAGTCATGAAGAGGAAGACATGCAGCATCGTCTGAAAAAAGTGCTCGCACCATGACATGGATAAAGCCACGAAACCACATATGAAACTATTGCCTGTGAAAACATGGATAATAGCCAGCACGTTACGTTTGCGCAAGATGACTGATACTAGAGCATCTATAAACCACGCTTCCCTCTAAATGAGCTTTCAAATGAATCAGCGAATTAGAAGGGCGCCCGAGGCGTGGCGCGCACCAAGGCAAGGGATGTAGTGCAAGCGCATGCTCGAAGCTTTCTAGCACATCCTAATTAAACATGAAATTGGTCTTCCAAGAAGTTACGGGCAGTGAAACCTAAGAAAACTCGCGTTTTCGAAAATGGCTTGAAGAATACCCCTCAAAATAAAAAGTAACAACGGGACTAATTTTTGAACTGCTGATCTTTCAGGAACGCTTGGTGCTCGTTAGAAAGCTTGAATCCTGTAGTTTATTATACGTGTTCAGCTTCCCAAATGAATGATTTTGAAGGAAGTTATGATCGTTTAAAGGTCAAAAAGTCGCCTTTGCACAGAAAAAAGTAACAACGTACATTCAAATTTTACCCATGGTTGGAGAGAGAATAATTTGAATTTTCCAAATCAAATCACTTCGGCGCAGAAGCTCGAATATGAAGGAAGTTATAGCCCTAGAAAGAGGAGTGTAAAAATTGTTTTGCAATTTTATTTTTTGTCCTAATAACTTATTCATTCCGAAGTGTTTGAGAACAAATAAGCACTCGTTAGGAAGGAGGAGCCACATCGATCCAAATCCACCTGAATCTTCCGAACTACCTGAAATGTAAAAAAAAACTCGAATTTTCACATTCCCCGTTCGACGCCTCTTCACCGTGAGCAAATGCGCTCCACCGTCAGGAGGCCAAAGGGACTTACGTAGCAATAAATATTGATGGTAAACACTGTCTCTACACAAGTGTTACATACAAGGGGGGGTCGTATCAAATCACCCATGAAGGGGGGGGTCGTAAAAAATTTCCAAAGAGTAACAACGATAGGGTTGACCCTGGTCAAAGACTGTTGCTTTGATGCTAAGGACTTGAATTTCCTGCTTCATTTTTTTTATTTTCTGGGCTTCAGGGCTAGGCTTTCTCTTCAGCAACTTTGGAACGGGTTCCGAGTGAGGAATTGTGGTAAGCAGATTCAACTACATCAGCATCGAACACCGAGGAGCAGTTAGTGAGCAGAGGCCCTAGACGACAGAGGTCATCTCATTTAAAGGAGGAATTCAACGATCAGAATGAAGGTCGAAGAAAGGGAAACTGACCTAGTTGAGGGACCCACGGACCTCCTGAGGGTGCGAACTGACGCGCAATTCGCATGGAAAAATTTGACCTCGGCGACCTATCATGCCTCAAAGCTGGCGGGTCGGCGATCTCCGCCCACCGATCATCTGATCACTCGCCGTAGTTCAATACGTGGCGAGTGATTAGATAGCTGAGAGAGCGTAGTGTTGAAGAGGGCACAGCGATGAGAGTCGCATCAATGCTCGAATCAACGGGCAAGGAAGGGGTACCATTTCTCGGGTTCTGGGCCGTTTCTCATGGTTCTTCCTTCTTTCGTGTACCACTCACCATCCCTAGGTTAATTTGAAATGGGTTGCTTTTTCATCGTGAATTCGTCCTTTAAACTTTCAAATAATGTGAACGCCATTTGCGGCTAAATCAGATCATCATCGAGGCTCACCAAGCGTTCTAGCAGTTATTTGCTGGCGAGAATAACAGCGACAAGGGATAATAACCGATGCGCTTCACAGCTTTTCCAAAAACCCATGAATTTTTATAGGATGCTGCATCTGGGGCGGATATCGGGTTGCTGGCTGTCAATACAATTAAGCTAACAAAAGAATTTCGCAACGCCGACGGAAATAACGCCTCTGGTAACGCTGATCGATAACCTTATTGATCACGGTAACTGCGTGATGGATGTATAGCCTCGAATACAAATTTCTTAGGGTACAATAAGCACCGCGGCCGTATCCTGCCAGTTTATACATCGCTAGATAGAATCGGTCCACCTCGGCTTAGCCTCCATCCGCTCAGTGTTCGCTTGAATTTGCAGCAGAGTCCGTGGCGCGAAGGGTAAAAACCCAGATGAATCAGATAGTTGTGCTAAATCAATTTTTGTCAGCCATCTGATTTGAATTGTTGCTGTTTATCTCCAGATATTGAAGGTTTTTTAGTGCATTTAATATTGTAATGCGCTTGTTGTTAGTATGCCCTTTTTTAAGCTCTAATTTGTTTCACAATCTTACCAGCGGTATACCTTATGCTAATTAAATATATGGAGAATTCTTGAAAAGTCCTATAGAATAATAAAAAAGAAGGGCGCTATCGCAAGAAGTGGGGGCATTGTGGTGACAACACATCTAAAAGCGCGTAGCCACACTCCTTTCTGACAGCGCCTATTCTCTATTTCTAGAAGTTGTGGCCCCTAGTGTTGCAATAGCGCTCAAGCTAAAACTCAACGTAACAAATTTGTTCAGTTTTGGTACTGATTTACATTACTGTTACCCAATGTTTCCTCGTGCAGTATTGCCTATTCTGAGCTGCGACGGAGCCATTAAGTGAATATTTTTATATTTTCCCCATTTTTTTTATTCTATTCATCCTACAGTAGATGAGAAGTTGGCAGGCAGGACAGCGAAGCTCTCAACCGCATGAGGCTCAGCTGTAGAATCCAAATGTTTCATTGACAAGAATGCATTCAAATGTAACTACGACTACTACTAGAGGATGAATGCATGGCGCATCGCAAATGGGCGCAATCGCCGCCATTTCTGAACCATTACAACCCTTTCATTGCTTTACCCGTATTTCCAAAAGTTCGCACAAATTATTTTCTCGTTTACGCTGTTACGCCAGCAAATTTAGTTGCGATCTCACCAATCGATAATTATTGATCGGCCAAGATAACATATTGAATTGTTCAGATCCTAATGCTTGCAATCGAATAGAATGAATTCGTCACTTCGTTATCCGTACGTTCGTCGCAGCACTACCCATGTGGACGGTGCTGCTCTACAGGTGAGATTGTTAATTATTGATTAGCTATTGAATTATTATTGATTTTGTGGAACAGCATCTTTTATTGAACGAACGAATATGGCGGAATGCATTCGCCAAGGGACCCAAAGACGTCGAATCAGGCAAACAGACGAGATGGACGACAGTGCTCGGCTACGTACAGGCGAGTACCATAGATGCATATTTTTGAATTTTTTCCCATTTACATTCACAACAATCATTCCAAACTTACCTTCGATTAAAGCCAAAATAAAAAAGAAAGAATCAGAATAAATCAGAAAATTATCTAAAATCTTCTCCAAGGCAGGCAGGCATCCATTTTTCCCAGGTTAAGATAAAAGGTACCACATAACCATTTACGCTAAACCTTTTTATTTAATGGTATTCTACATATAGCATTAACTGTTAACAAACATAGGGTCCCGCAGAAGTGTAAGGTAAATGTAGATGAGGGGTGGTTGCAAAAAAATTTTCAACGAACCCTTCCTCGCCAAGACGGCCCCGACATGACCTCCTCTTATCACTATCAATCAACCTTGCAGTGGCCCCCGCAAGGCTTCCTTAAAGGCAGCGATTACGATAAATTCAGAAAGGGTTCAGTGTGACGTGGTGGTGCTAAGTGGGTGAGGTTGAAGGTGGTGGGCGGATGCGATTTTGAGGCGAGCGCTTTTGAAATCCTGCTTAGCCACGCATACACCCTTTCGTTGTGAAAGTGCCACATCTCACTAACTGGGAAACCAAGTACTATCCGTGGCGGCATATGCCTTCAGCGATGCACTCGCTCTTTTCCGTAATCTCGCTGCCTTTAACCAACCATCTACACCAACCTCACCATCACGGCACACTAGAACTCTGCCATATTTAGCCATGCTTCTTTTCTGATGTTTCCGCCAAAATCGTGGGAAACCCGATAGGGACTATCCCTCCCTTACCACAACAAATATGCAATAGCAAGAAATACGACTCGCGTTCAAAACCACAAAATCACAAACACGCTCCAAACCCTCTCTTCGTTGATCTTATGCTTAGTACCACCGATGATTTACCCTGTGCCATTAACACCCCAACCCCGTCCCCTCTCCCCCAGGTTGCATCCCAAAAGAAATTTAGCTGTCGCGCAGTGTGCCTTTAAGTGCATAGCCTTCTCTGTGATCTTCGCAGCGTTGTTTTATATGAAAATATAAATGTATTACGTGCTCATACCAATACCGACCTCTGGCAATTCAAGTCCATTTCGGTCATCCAAAGTCACACTAAATCGACTCTAACGCAATGCACTTCATTTGCTTTCCCACTGTCTTCCCTGTCGTTGGGCGACGGTCAATTCTGAGGTAGACGTCAAATAAACGAAAATAATATATAGAAACATTGTTAATACTGATCAAAAACGTACTAGTAATTATTAACTGGTACCAGCTGTCCACAACCGTGATAATGAATCCTAAGAATTTGCAGTTAGTCTACGAGAAATCACGAATTCACTACCTGATTCCTATTATTCTATTATTCGCCTACTCGCTATTAGGCGGTCTCATATTTTGGTCAATTGAACGCTCACATGAAGAAGTCCTACTAACGGATAAGGTGAGCATTTTCATTGTCAAAAAGATTTAAAGGCACACCCGACGTTAAGTTTCATTGGAGAAATCCTTCCAGTGGATACATTGCTTTGTCCGCAGCTGCAACATCCGTGCTACTTTCGTACCTTGGGACACTAAAGGTTTAGAACTCCCATTATCTACCTAGAGTCCCATGGATTGATACACGCCCACCGTAGTGGTGTAGGTACAGTGTCACTGGTCTGCTCTGCTCTCTCATTTTGTCATAGCCTTTTTCTCTCTCCTTGGCAGCTATTTCCTCTTTTCTCGCTGCTAGCCCTCGGGTACCCCCAGGAGGCCCGTCGCGCGGCAAGAAGGCAAAGTCAGCGGACGAGTCGCGCGCGTACTATAGGGATTTCGCGTCAAGTTAAATAGAGTGTCCCATTGCACGTCCTACATCGCACATCACGCGCTGCAACTCGTCCGCCGACTCTGCCTTCTTGCCGCGCGACGGGCCTCCTGGGGGGTACCCCAGCCGTCAGACTCCCCAACGTAGAGCAGAGACCTGTGCTTTCGATGTTTTGAATTCGTTTCCTTCTTCTCGACTAGTGATCCACCTCGCATTCCTACCTTTTCAATCGGATGCATTAAATTACCTCAAGTTGACCGTAGGAGATGCCTTCAGTAGGCTAAAAGCACAACCCAAGAACAGCTGTTTGGAAATATCCTCCACCAGTAATCGATCCTCTCTCGCCCGAGGTATATCCTTCGAAGCGGATTGCGCGTTGGTCCGCACCCTTAGTGGGTCTACCTCTCCCTCCAT